GGCTAGGACACAGATTTTGTAATAATCGGAATATCATTTTTTCATATTGAAGTCTTGATGAGGCCTTAAGGAATTATGGGACAACCATGAGATTAGCAAATCACAAAGAGATATTGCAGCTCATAACATTGCAAATTATTTGATATCTGAAAAATCGTTTTGTAACCCAGTGGCGTATCCAGGGGGCGGGGGGGCAAAGGGGGCAATTGCCCCCCCCCCCCCCCAGATCAGCAACCTTTCATTTCTTAAAAATATCTCAAATAACAAAAAATAATATTATCTACTCGCGTGCGCAAAGTTATTTCTTTGCACACTCTATATGCGTGCGTCGTGCGTCATTTGGTTTCTGCATAAACTAATATTCAAAAAGAAGGGCTTGATGCTATTTTTGTTCCAAGAAAGGCATTCAGGTAATGTTTAGCTTTTTTTATCTGACACTTACCGTATGAGGAGCGAAGGGAGGAGAAATCCAACAAAAACAGGTGTGAGGTCGGGTGACCATTGACGTGGGCAGCCACCAAGTTTTATAGATACATTTTTGAATTTTTAATGAATAGGTTGTGATTTTTCTACTCTATTTTTTATTGCACTTTTGACGTGTGTAAGTCCTGAGAGTATGATAACATTCCTTTGGAGTATCAGATCATACAAGTTGGACAGTAAGTTTCCTTCATAAACTTCCCAACTTAATGGTCTTGCGGAAAGAATGAATCAGGCACCCATGGACAAAGCAAGATCTATGATAAATATGATAATACAAGCAAAAATGGATAGGATATTTTGGAAAGATGCTGCACTTATTGCTATGTAAAACTAATTTAATAAACACATATATGGACAAATATCATCCTGATAAGTTTAGTCTCAAACTTTGGCAGGAAAAACAAATTTTAAGTAAACCTCGCTAGCACAACCACTGTTGCAAATAAAGTCAAGCTGATCACTGAAAAAGAAACACATTGGACTAAGAGAGAAAATCACCAGTTTTGAGCATCTGGAAACTTTAAGAAGATTAGGTATACAGCTCCTCTAGATGCTATGCAAATCTTCAAACACTCGTAGAAAAAGTATCGTTCTTAATACTTACGCAAAGTGTCTTTCCCGCACTGAAAGCTTATACGAACTCCGCTTCGCATCGTTCGTCTAACTGCTTTTTCATGCGGGAAAGTATCACTTTGCGCACTTTGCGCACTTTGCGCACTTTGTTAGGAAAATAACTATTTTTATGTAGGTATGTATTACACACCTTTGAATTGAACTTTAGCCCCCCCCCCTCCCAGAGCCTCAGTCTGGATATCAACCAAACTCATCTAAGTGTGACCAATGAGTGTGAGTAGTGTGACACTTGAAACCGAAGTGTGCCGTATTTATTTCTATAAAGCGAGCCCTCACTTGAAGAGGTCATTCGCCAAACGGTCCAGATGCTGCATTTTTTGAATCTAAATGACATTTTACCTTCAAGCGGTCTATAATTTGAACATTTTTTATCAACAGTTGACACAGAAGTGATCCTATGTTCCTAGGAGCATAATGTGTGTTCACAATAATCACAATATCAACTATAATTTTGAAACTCGTTATCGCAAAATTCTACAAACCCAAATAAACAACGATGGCGTCCTCTTTAGACCCTTGTCAAATATACTCACCCTGTTATTTGGGTAACTATGACCTCATTAATCGTATTGTGTAGATGTGAAGATGATGTTCACTGTGGGCAATGAACTACGTAGGTAACTGAAACCTGTGCTGAAACGGACTTAACCTTCCATTAGTCGCGCGTGTATCTGAGAGATACATGCCTATTATTGTTGCAAATAAATCAAAAAGGAAAAACCCTATAATAGTATGGCTTGTAGTAGTCCTTAATTACCCTATACTAACCACTTTCCCGAAATTATATGGTCGTACCTCTATTTGGAAATTTGGAATTTCCAAAAAACTAGTGGTGCGCTCGGCTTTGTGCCTGACTGATACAACGCGGCTTTTCTTATTACCAGCGGTGCTCCTCAATTGTAACTGTTTTCTTGGTATTTTTTCATATAAATATTATGGAATAAGAGGCTGTTCATCTTAGGTGAAGATGGAAACTAGATGAGACAAAATTCCTCCCAAGCTGACTCGGAAGAGACCACATAATATTATGGTAAAGCTGCCGGGCGTTGTTGACCAAACTGCAACGACTGCGAAAACAGAATCCAACTTCTTGAATCTCTTTCTCAGTAAAAAGTGATTGTTGAGTACACGAATAAATACATAGAAATTGTAAAACCGAAATTCATCAGATGGTTCAATTTTTTTATCAATGATTTTGTACATGTATCTCTGTGATACAGCGCGACTAATGATGTTATAAAAACTCGCGCGCCTAATGGAGGGTTAACAGCTGCTTTCAATGTCCATTTTTGAGGCAAATTTTATGGTAGTGAGAATGACAATAAAAGGGGTTGTTTGCTCTGTCGCACGCGTACATGTTTACGAGCATTGGTGGGGTATAATAAATCGACCTAGTCCGCCTACAGTAGCGTAAGCGTAAGACAAAGACGGCCACCCAATTTACTCCATTAAAAATTTGTCAGGCGTGATAAATGCTGGTGCCATTCCATTTGCATAACTGAACTGACTGTGGGTCGCTAGAATACGTCTATTGAAATCACTTTGACAACTTTGAAATTTAAAACTGGTGAATCAGTAGCGCCCAAACACTTTTTTTCGATAATGACGGAATTGTAGGTTTTTTCTGCAATTTGCGCATTCCTCACACATGCAAGTCGGCCATATTTGCAGTTGCAAATATACTGTAATTGGGCGGTGACAGAAACAACTATAGTTGCCGGATGAAAGAATGATTCCTCCATCTTCAAACGTGATTCGAACCGAGCGGTTAGTTGCTATAAACTGTGGTTGCTATGGGTGTGTTCGGGGAGCACGCTATGGCGCCATGCAACATATATGCAGCGCAAACTATCGCAAGCGAAGGCAATTTTTCGCGAGGATAATCAAGCAGAATCGATTCTGCTAGATTGTGATGTGTCAATAATTGTATCATACTACTCTAACGGCCCTAACTCCCCACCATCAAATTCTGGGATACTCGAGGATCAAGAACACTTAATTTATCCTGTGAGAACAGACCAGAAATCACCTTTTCTACATTTGAAATCGACGAAAAAATTAAGTCACTAGCACAGCCTGAATCGCAAGCATTCCATCAAGGTCTGCAGTGGCGTCATCACTATAAGCTGCTGATGGTGACGTCACTCGCAGGCCCAGAATTGGATGGCGAGGGAGTTCGGGGAGTATGACACATCACATAACCCAGCATATAATCAGATTATGCTTAATTATTCTCGCGAAAAATTGCCTGAATATTCGGCTTGTTCGGGGAGATGCTAGAGCGTTGGCGCTGTCAAGTGTCAAGGAGCTCCGGAACAGCTACGGGGCGTTACGCGCTTATAGCCACATTTTGACGTTTTATGCGTGTATCAAACGTCAAATTGGCGAAGCAATGTCAAAAAAATGCGAATTTCGCAGTTATGAGTACTAGGCTTATTCCCTTCGAAAAGTGTTTGTTGCATCACGCATCTGTTCCTTTCAAATCGGGGTCGACTAACACCGGAGCGAGTAGCTCGAGTGTTCGTAACTCTTGAAAAGAATACACTACTATTAGTTGTATTCCTTTCACACCTAGGAGGAACTCCGGAACAGCTCCGGCCGCTCCGGGGCTTCACGCGCTTATTCCTTTCGAAAAGTGTTTGTTGCACCACGCATCTGTTCCCTGTAAATCGGGGGCTACTAAACACCCGGAGCGAGTAGCTCGAGTGTTTCAAACCCTTGAAAGGAATACAACTATTGTGATGTGGTGTAGATGCAAGAAAATTACACGTTTAGATGTTTGTGTTTATTTCAAATTTCTTAACCTAACCAAAAAAAAATTAACAACAAAACTTACAAAACTCCCTAAAAAATCAATAACAACAAAAATCATTAAACAACAACAGCATTTCATAGCATTAACGGATGACATAGGCAGCAAATACGACGTTACCCGTTACCCATGCGCTTGTTAACTTTTGGAATGACGTTACTTCTCATGTAATTAAGTTAACTTTTATTTAACTGTCAAAGTAGTTTTATAATACGCGCCCTTATTCATAGTGTTAGAAATTGCTCCGCAAACAAAGAGTTGTACCAGATGGCCCAAATAGCGCAGGGATAGTACACACTACTGAAGATTGCTTATCGGCCTCGTTTTTGGTAATCGCCGCGTAACGCCTCGGAGCCGTTCAGGAGCTCCTCCCAGGTGTGAAAGGAATACAACTATTGATGTAGGTATTTTTTGAATTGCTTCGTCAGCTGTATGCTTCCACCAATAGGTCTGTTACTGCCAGAGTGAATTTCATTGGTTGAAACTAGTTTGCTGACTGTTTTCAACCAATGAAATTCGCTCTGACTGGTTTGTGATTTCGGCCGAAACAGACCTAGAGTGCGTTAGAAATCACCCTGGGCGTCATACCGAGTGCACACCAGCCATGAATAATTCATAGCTGGTGTGCACTCGGTGTGACGCCCAGGGTGATTTCGAACGCACCCCTAATAGTTGTATTCCTTTCACACTTGAGCCGCTTTCCAGCTGAAGCTTTTGCGCACGCAATCGAGCTTTTGCGCGCGCAAATGCTTCAAGCGCGTGCTCGTGTTCCAGCCGTACTGCGCTTCGAGAGCTGCTAACTTTTGCGTTTCAAACACACAATACTGTACTGCACCGTGCTTGAAGCACACAGCTGGAAAGCGGCTTTAGGAGGAGCTCCGGAACAGCTCCGGGGCTTCACGCGCTTATTCCTTTCGAAAAGTGTTTGTTGCACCACGCATCTGTTCCCTGCAAATCGGGGGTGACTAAACACCGGAGCGAGTAGCTCGAGTGTTTCAAGCTCTTGAAAGGAATACAACTATTGAATTATGAATTGTCAATTTGTCAATTCGTTAACCTAAAAATAATCATTCAAAAATATGATAAATATAAAAATAAACAATTGAAAAATAATGGGAAATGAAAATCCATCTCTAAAAAAGAATTTATAATAGCTCTACTGAAATCATAGGAACTCCTATTATCTAAGCATACAATGGAAGCATACGAAGTTCTTTCATCAAAATCCTTTGGAAGTATCTGCCGAACTTGCTTAGTGTTTGGTGATCATTTTCTTATTGAAAAAGTAAGCAGCGGTGGTACGAATTTAAAAAACATTCTGGAAAGTATGGTAAGTTAGTCATAAAATAATTAAAAAATCCATCCATAAATAGTTTTTTTACAATTTCGTGACTGGATTATTATTGTTGGAAAGGTTTGTTCCTTGGTTTATTCATTGAGAAGAGATAGATAGAAGAAATAATTGAGGAAATTTAAATATTAAAACTATCAAGTAATGCAGGCTGCAGGTCATTCAGGTCAACTAGCACACATACACAGACACAAAATATTGTTGAGTACCTACCTGTTAGATGACTATCACTATCATCATTCTATTATTGACAAGTTAAGTAGCTACATAGTAATTAGTAGGTAGGTATAGTGTATTGAGTTTATGAAAACTAGGATGGAAGAAATTCCTTATTTTTTTTGTATGGGCTTCCAAATTCCATGGCCAATGATTTAATAGAATTAATTATTACTCGAATTATTAAAATTTTTGTCATGTAAATACTATCATGAATAGCAGGAATTCTCTGCTTGACTAGTGTTTTCAAATTTGGGCACTGTTGAGATTAACTCGAGATTGACACTACTAGCCATGGATATGATTTTCAGTGAAAGTCTTCACCACATTACATTGTCATGTATATTCTAGGGTATATCTATAAGATTCAGCCATAATGTGGAATGCAAACGGTCTAAATATGAAGAGTGCACATTTGATTTCACAAATGGCGATTACCTCAGCAATTTCATTGAACAATTATGTGGCCAGTTTTAATTGGTATTTAATCAATAAATTGAACCTCGAGCAGGCTGCTCTATGGTTTTATGAAATATTGTGGGAGAGGAGGGGATAACACAGAAGATAACTTTATATTTTCCAGGGAAGATATTCAAAGCTAACTTTTCCATGTGGTTCAACATTGAGCTTAGTAATTTGATTATTGAAAAAAAGAAGCTTCACAAAAAATTTAGAGACACAGGAGATCATCTAGACTATTTGTTGTTCTCTCAAGTAAGAGATAGATGCAAGGATTTGAAGGACTTCTCCTAAATAATGTATCAGCTCAAAACTGAAAATAACATTAATAAACATGCTAGATCATTTTAGTCATATTTCAACAATCTTAGAAATAAAGAAATACCTTTGTTCTTCCCTGTAAAATTAGTTATAATGACTCTACTGGCTGTAGTAATCAAGAGACTGTAGAGTTGCTTGCAGACTTTTTTGCTAGTCTTTACTCGAACCTCGACTCGAACTCTACCACCAATCAGGTTCCGAAATACTCATTTTCCAACGTTACTGATGTTTCTGGATACTCTGTTGTACTATTCACCTGATAAGTTGTCATGTGGGCCAGATGAAATTTCCTTGCTTTTTCGAAAGGTATGTCTGTACACCCTTGCAACGCAATGTAGGTCAAGAAAAAAGGTCACAAATTAGAAGGCTGTTTGCACACAGTCTGAGATGCCTAAATTGCTTGACTATCCCATTACCAAAAAACTGGCTGGGACTGTAGGTACCATTCAAATCCGGAACAGAATGGGTTTATGGTGGGTATGTAACATCAGAAAATTTGGTTTTGTATCATAATTTTATTTTGAACAGCATGGAAAAGAATTTCCAGGTTGATTATGTATACCTACTCAGACATCTCTAAAGCCTTTGTTAACCATCGCCTGCTCATCAATAAGCTTGGTTGTTTGGGGTTGGGAAATCCCGAGGGAAATCCAATTCTGAGATGGTTCGCTGTTTTTCTTGTTGGGAGAACTCATGCGGTTAAATATGGCGGTGTTATGTCTCGTGTCTTTGCTGTTCCTTCTGGCGTACCCTAGAGGTCTCACTGTGGGCCTTTCTTTTTTAATCTGTTTATATCCGATCTAAAAAGTTCCATTGCCCACAGCTCATTTTTATCATTTGCAGATGACCTTAAACTTTATCGTCAAGTATAATCGCCGAAAGACGTACAACTGTTGCAAGATTATATCGGTTCTTTTGATAAATGGTGTTGGTTCGAATGAAATCTCGAATGAAATGGACCTCAATATTATCAAATTTGAATAGAGAAAAATGTCCTTATACAATAAATACCACATCAACCAGGGAAGTAGCAAGCATTCCTCATTTGAGAGTGGAATTTCACTCCAAGATATCATTTAATGGCCATATTACCAATACTGTGTCAAAGGCTTTCAGATCTTTGGGATTTATATGTAGGGCGATTACTGATATGTCTGTGAGTACAATACGAACCAAGTTACGAACATTGTACTGTGCGATGGTGCGATCTATGTTGGAATACTCATCGGTTGATTGGTAACCCCGAGGGTAACCCTAATATGCTGTTCAAAAAGTCAGAACAAATTTCAAGGAGTAGGCTGCTTACAGATTGGGCTTGCTTGGCTCATGATGAGTATAGTATACTTATGACAGGATTAGGGCTTCCTTGAATATTCATACATTGCAAAGCAGGAGACTTTAGGCAGATCTTCGTTTCCTCTACAAACTCTTGAGAGGGTTCATTGACTGCCCAAATCTTTTGGGTCTTGGGCAGGAGAAAGCAGGATGAGATGTTCTGAGTTTTTTTATGTGCCCTTGCATATTACTAATTATGTTATAAATGAGTCGATCTCAAGGATGCTCAGGTTTGCTAACTCAAGGAGCCAAAATATTGATCTCAAAAAGAGACTGTTACCGTCGAGAATAATTGAGAGGTTACTGTTGCTTAACTGGATAGTCCTTGAATTTGGACTAGACATACACTTCCAAGAATAAACAGGCAAGCCACAGTCAAAATCTTGTGTCTTATAAAGAGTGGCCGACAACAATCCCGAGATCTTACACCACACGAAATCCTAACTGCCCTAGCTCGCACAACAAAAACAGAGTTAAAAAGAGTTTCCACTACATGCACCCCAGAAGCTAATTACGTACCTCAAATGTCATTCAAGTTGAGCATAATAAACATTTCTGGCTACAGAAAAAGTCAGCTTCCCAGAAAGAACTCTAATAAGGAAACAGCCTCTTGTTCAGATTATTAATTTGGTTCTCAAATTTAAGCTTGGAATAAACAAGTAAACCCAAGAATTTGCATTGGCCGCAAGTTCTTGATTATTTATAGTCAACCTGTTCAACTGACACTTAAAATGTATAATATTTGTTTTTGAAATATTAGGAGTTAAAAAGTTGGTGTCACACCATTCCTCAATTGGAGGTAAATACCTGGTTATATTCTCCTCCCTCCAGTACATTGGGGTTCTTATTGTGCTAAACAATCGTATCATCGGCCAACATTGTGAACCTTCCAGTTTAAATAGATCATTCACTTGATTTTGAAATAATCGGACCCAAAACCATGAAGTACACCTGTTTACACCCTCAATAGCCTAATATTAAATGTAAACTCAAAGTTTGGGGAGAAGCTTTTTGAAATCTCGAATATAGGTATGAAATGAAATGAGATTCTTTGCATGACAAAAAAGAAAGTATGTACCTAGGTTTTTTTAAATAAAATCTATCATCAATTTTAAACTTTTCTGTACCTGTGTGTTGCTTTTATTATTAAACCTTCTTTATACCCAAAATTCAGGATGTAACAATCCGACCAGAGACTACATGGCCTTGCAGTTTGTATTCTTGTTTATTTCCACTATCTTATTTCAATGAATAAGGTCCAGACCATTGATTATTGAGTTAGGCCCATGTAGGGTCTAGAGAGTTTTGATTGTAAAAGATAAACTTGACCCCCGACTTGACCTACTTTCATAGAAAATAGTTACAGTCGGAACCTTGGGATGAATTGTTTTGTTCATTTATCTGTTTCCATTATCCAATAATTAGAAAATAAAAAATAGTTTAGACTTGCTCACTTACACTTCTGTATTATTGTTTCTTTTTGCAGCTTGAAAATGACCCCCTTCTACCAAAGCAAATGTGTAAAAACTGTATTAAATTAATGTATAAAACTCATGATTTTTTGAACAAATGTAAAAGTTCAGACAAAATTTTAAAAAAGATTTTATTAAGAGAATCAGGAAAAAAGGAAATGGTGAAAAAACAATCATCATCTTTTAAAACGCAATCAGCAAATCAAATCAAAACTGAACCTATAAATAATACATTAACCAGCAGTATTGAAGAGAATGATATTAAAAAAAATTCTGATGTTGATACAGACTCTGATATTGGAGACATGGCCGAATTAGAGAGCAAACTGTCAGAATCTGATAAAACTCCCCAAACAAAAAATGATAGTGACCTTTTAACGGAAATTAGTACCATGAAAGAAGAAATAAGTAACATAAGAGTGAAAAATATAGCCAGACTAAGACAAATGGCTAAAGCTCAACTAGTGAATTCAAATGAGCTCCCAAAAAACAACAAAAGAACATATGTTCTTAGAAAAGGTCCTCCTTACACATGTATTACCTGCAATTCTTCCTACAAAACCCATGAAGAATTGAAAAAACATAAACAGGAAACTAAACATAAAAAATCACTTAAATACAAATGTAATTATTGTGATAGAAAATATGATACTTATTGTAAGTTTGAGGAGCACGTTAGAACTCATACAGGGGAAAAACCAAACAAATGTCCCACCTGTGGAAAATGTTTTAATTTTAAAACAGATCTTAAAAGGCATATGGTTATGCATATGGAGGTAAAACCCTATATTTGTCAATTTTGCAATAAAGGCTTTGCCCGAAGACAGTATTTGGTGGACCATGAAAGAAAGCACACTGGTGAGCAATTATTATGTCCATTTTGTGGCAAAGGTTTTCATTCCTATTCAACACTCACCTACCATGAAAAAACCCATAAAGGACCTCCAGGGTGCGTCAGAAATCCTCTTACAAAAGATAGGTTGTACCAGTGTAATTTATGTGAAAAAACTTTACTTACTGAACAGACATTGAAGGCTCATCTTTTGCTGCATGGACCAAGAAATTTTAGTTGTGAAATTTGCGGGAAGACCTATATCAGTAAGAATCGGCTGCAGGATCATATCAAATTGACACATCAAAGTAAGAATTATTATGCTTGATTCTATCTCGAGGTTGCAAGGATGTGAATAATTATGAACCTATGTATAGTTGAAACAGTTTTATGGTTAAAAGCAATGAAAAATATGTTGCTACAGGTGTCTTTTATGCGTCCATGATTGTTCATCCTTGGCATCTCTTGAACTGTGAGGCTTTGCCTTTCTCTGCGTTTTTCTTTTTATTTATTAATTTTTATCAGATTATCCCACTTAATAGTTTCTTTTTATTTTTTATATTCTTATAAATGACCTCACTATCCAATTTGACCTTTTACGATAAATTCTGTCAATGATTCAATATGTAGATTCCGCCTTAGGTATTTCCTCTTTAGTCTCGCTTGCCACCCAATAATTCTTCTTAAAGTTCATATAGACTAGTGCACGAAACAGAAATGAGATCAAAGGCACGCATCTCGCCAGCAAACTTGCTTCTATTTCCGTCGGTTTTTCGACGAAGCATTAAAGAGTTGCAAATGGCGAATTAACGGCATCATAACGAGCATTTTCCCTGTTTATTTTCGTTTAGTAGCAGACTGTGGTAGGTTGTGTTTTGATTTGGTTTTCGACTCTGAACACTGATCAACACACATACAACTCCGTTTGCCACCATCGCTTTTTTTCATACTTTTACTGAAATCCAAATTAATGTAAATAAAATCTGCCGCTGACCAACTAGCCACATCTTGCCTTTTGGTATATGTTGCATTCTCTAGTCTGTATGAAGCTTCAAAAAGGTAGGTATTTCATTTCTGTAGCTAGCTTTTCTGGCGCAGGTTCCACATTAAAACGTTAATATTGATTCGTGAATGCATTTATATATATACCTAAATATTTTGTTTTGTTTTTTGTGTATTAACGTTTCATCTGATTTATTGTTGAGTCCTAATCTGGATATTTTATTCTGCCACATCATTCGTTAAACCTATAAGCCAAGCTATAAGCATTAATTTGGTTTCTGTCAAGGTTTTTGTATAATGTCGTTTCTATTTTCATTAAGTGTAATCTTTAGTTAGGTAATTATTCGAAACATCAAAGTTTAAAACCACTTTTTTCCTGTATTCTCATACTCAGTTCTTTTGATTTTACCTTGGATTTTACCTGCTCTTTGTTTCCTATGTTGTTATTAAGTTGGCTGTGTTCTTCTATTTATATACATCACCTTCGCCTATTTTAGTTTTTACTTGGTATTTGTAGTTATTTTTTTAAATTTTTCTATGCACTTTCTTTGCTGTTCCCATAAAATATCTTTCATTTGCACGTTTAATTTTTTAATAACTGTTAAAAATAGCCGGTTATCCTCCAAATAGCATCAAGCAGGCTTCAAACTCTTGATTTTTTGAATGGGGAGGATAGGCTAGATATTTTTAATGATTCTTTTCAGTCTTTTAAAAAGAAATTGATGAGGCTGTTATAAATGACTGTTATTTAATTTCATAGGATTATGGAGTATTATTTTTATTTTTAGTAGTTAGTGTTAAGCAGAATTTGTTGTAACCTTGAAGAATGTTTATTGAAATTGTTATTTTGTAATGGGGTTTTCCCGTATAGTAATAAAATATAATTAAAAAAAAAAAAATATTCTCATCTCAGCTACATTGCACTGAGAATATACGCAAGTAATTATTGTAGCAGCACTTTGCTACGCCGCCGCGTCGCGCCGTTCGATGCTACTTAGATCAGAATCTGCCCCCCGATCTGCTCTAATGTTATTTTATAAAGTATTTTCCGATTAAAGAAAAATTATTACAGTTTTTCAAATATGCCTTTTTCAACTAATTTAAATGTTTCGAATAGTTTTGAATATACTCCAAATAAAAGTTGAAGCAGCCTACCAAAGTATTCAAAACTTCTTGGCATTCAGACTCTATCTATCTTTTTAATTTAGTTTATAAAAGTTCACATACATCTATTCCGTTGGTCAGAGAAATCATTTGTGTCCATACAGATGCAAAATGTGCTAAAACTCATTGTGAACTATAAAATGTAATGATAATATTGATCATGATTTTATTAGATGCAAATAAAGACAACTAATATGACCTATTAATAAGAAATAAATTGAGCCAATATGTCCATAAAGTTTTTAAAAAATTCTCGGTAATCTTTGATATAAGTAGTATTATTACATAATATACATAATTCCCTTTCACTTTTAGACAATACATTTTCATGTCATCTTTGTAAAAAAGAGTACAAACAGAAAAGTGGTTTAGAAGTGCATTTGAAGTCACATTCAGGCGAAAATATCTATCCTTGCGATGAATGCGGCAAACAATTTGCTTGTAAAGGGTCATTATACCAACATAAAAGAGTACATACAGGTAATTTTAATAATTTTTCAAGTGATCTTCTAGCCTATATAGTTGTTTTTTTTCTTCAGGAGACACCAAATACCAATGCAAAGAATGTCTCCACATCTGCATCAATCGACGCCATCTAGAAAACCATTTGCGAATTCACACTGGAGAAAAACCATTTTCATGTATATACTGTGGCAAATTGTTTGCTCAAAAGGCGAACATGCAAGCTCATACGAAAATTCACACTGGAGAGAGGAACCATCATTGTAAATTATGTGAAAAATCATTTTATGATACTAGGGGGCTAAAAAAACATATGGCTGTACATGAGAAACATAATCTGCAGAACAATGGAGGACAGACTTAGATAATAGATTAATGCGAATTGATGAAATAGTAAATGAGTAGACGAGGATGCCCATGTTTGTATTCTAGACTGCGTGGAAGATATTCGCTGCAGTGCAGACCAGATTGGTGAAACCAGATGATATTTTCTTAGGCTGCACAAAAACAAGTGAGATGTTGATAATATGACGAATGTGATGCACTGTGATAAATAAACGAAAACTTGTCGAGTATACAAGGATGTTTGGACCGTTTCCCAAAATTAACATGTGAAACATAGACACCACCTGAAAGTCGTTAAATTATAATTTCTAGCTTTAATTAACACACACATTCCAGTTGTCTGTAACACAATAGATGATAAAAATACCCTTTCTTGTGGCGCTAAGCAAGCTTTTCCTCTACTTCTCACAACTTTATTAGAGCAGTGCTTAGCGTGTTTGACAATGCTTGTTTGTCCCTCTCCAATGTCAGAACTGAACATGGCCATCAATTCTATGACGGAATCCTAGAACAAAAATACTGGTCTTGAGGCATGACCTGGGACAAGTTTGTCAGCAACTAAAGGCTACTAGAAGTCTCATATGATTAACAGGGAAATCACCAAGATGATAGTACATTCCAGAATACATAGTTGGGAAGCAATAGCCCTCCGAATATAAAGTCATAAGCCTAGTTGTTATTGACCATTGGAGGCAAGACGATGACCGTTCCACTTAATTTTAGGTTCTATGAAAATTTTCATAGTTTTGTAAATATTTTGAAGTATGGTCGGATATAGGATTATAACCAACACTTCCTATAAGTTTTATAAGATGTATCAAACGGAGTGTTCGAAAAGTTAGGAGACGGTCAATTATATTGACGCGGTTGTCACACTGTCAGACATACCAATTTGTCTGTAGACAATCTTTTTTGCAAAATAAAATAAAATGAAAGTATATATTTCTCAATCGATTGCTTCTGTCCTATTTAGTAAAAACCCGAAATGACAGTCGACTGAAATTATTAGCCTAGGAGATGTTGCAAACCAGCGTTGGAAAATAAGTAAATTGCTTGTTCACACCAAAACATTACTGACTTTGTGAAGAAAATTGGTGATGGGTGGAACTACAGAATATACAGGGTGTTATAAATTCGAGTGTGTTCATGGGGATCTCAGAAACCATAAGAGATACGAGATCGATTGAAGTGAGGCAAAGTTGCGCAATTATATGCTTAACAAAATACCGTTTTGAAAATTAAAAAAATCCGAATAGTTCCGGAAATATTCGGTATGAACTGCATTTTTGCAAAAGCCTTTTTTAATTTTTTTCTGAGCTTACTCGAAGATATATCCTCAAATAAATGTCATTTCATCGTTGTCACTTTCTCTCCTCTACAAGATGCTACCATCAAATTTAAAATCTGACCTTTCGTTTGTGAGCCACCATCATTTAAACGTTATTACAGAGACTTATGATATTGACCAACGTTCAGAGACAGCAAGAGCACTACCAAAAATTTCTATTTTGAAAAAATATCCTGCAGACTGGCCCTTCAAGTATTATTTTTTGGTAAAGAAGCAGAAATAAATTCTGCGGTATGAATTTATTTCAACAGCAAACGATCAGACAAGTATGCAAGAAATCCATTGATTAGCGTCATAAGTGACCGAAATCCAGAAGTTCTATGAATTCTTAAGACAGGCAAAGAAATTTTCGAATCACTTGGTGAAGTACCTATTCGGAAAAACTAGAAAAGCTTCTTCAAAAATGGATCCAACCACAAAAAAAAATTGAATATAAGGAAACGGAAAGCTGTTTCGATGGTATGATTATGATTCAATCAATAAACAATATATTCTGTGGTGGAACCTCAGCTTACATGGAACTCTCAGTTCGAAAACATTATCAGCGGTATTGCCAAACGGATCAGTTTTTCATCAACACTTATTTTCTTATTTTAAACGAAACGCCACGAACGAAACGATTTAAGCTGCAATCCTAGTTTTTCCTCGACAAGTAAAAACCCAGAATGACAGGCAACCAAATTTATTTGTCTTGGAGATGTGGCCGGTTTGCTAGCAGCTAGATGTCTTGTCAAACTAGCACCTAAATAATATATGTATGTTCTTAATTTATTTTGACGTTCAGAAATTGACACACGTCTTTTTTGTGAGTTTTTAGTGTTCAAAAATTGGTATTGTTTGACAACAAGATTCATACGTACAGTACAGACAAATTGGTAAGTTTAAGTCTGGAAACAGAGTGTGCATGTGCTTGGAAGCGTGAATCTCACAAGTTTTACTCAAATTATTGTTTACCACTACCAACTGACTAACTGAGAAATAGACCTTCATCTAGTAAATAAATATACCTACTTCCATAAACGTATTCACTTGATAGAGGTCAGAAGTATTTGTGACGTGTAAGTCAAATTAACAAAATTGTACATGTACAGGGGCGGAAATCCTCGGACCCGCGCGGGACCCAATTGCAAGGGCGACGCGCGGTTCCAGCAATAAATTCTGACTTTTTCCGCGACCGGCGCATTGGGAAATCTCCAGGTGTCCCGCGGTGGGCCCATCCATCCCTAAAGTTGTAGGTACTCAGTGTTATTATTGTTTAGAATAGGATTTATTTATAAATATTTTGTTTCAAAGATGTATATTCCTATAATTTTGTATTTTTAATAAAGAAATTGTAAAATTTAATATTTTTAAGCTTAATTTCATCAACCCCACTTCCATGCTAATTTTCAATTTCAGCTTATGACTCACAAATTTCTTGTGGACCTAAACTACGAGAAAGATAGGTAACGTAAAGGTGCGTATCGATTTAGCGAGGCAGCCGAGTGCGTCAATAATGAGTTGGCTCACGCGGCAAGTTGGTATGCTATGCATTAGGCACGGCTGCCGCGAGAGTCAATGTTCGACAGCTTGCCGCGCGTAATCGATACGCTCCTTAACAGTAACAAGACAAAATTCAATCTGCTGAATTTCATATTTTTGCAAGGCAAATGCTACCAAGACAAGTTTCAAATCCTGACTTTCTCTTTGTACTCATGATCAACTTCGGTGACCAAGTATTTGAAATCGCCTCCTGAATCATATAATGGCGTGAACACTCGCCGTTGACAAGTTTATTCCATTTTGCCTTTCACTTGCCGAATGTTCTGGAACAGTTCGGCGATCGTTTCAATATTTTCTATCTGTCTTGTGTGTGCGGAATTACCTACTCTTGCGCTTGCGAAATTTTCTAGAGCGGTCCTGTTCTTTTTGCTTCACTTCTGATCTTTTTTTCATCCGTAAGTTTCATCAAGGCATCTGAGTCATTTGATCTTGGACGGTCTGTTGTGTCGTTTTTGCCATATTCGAAAATTTCTTCCACTCACTTATCCGACTTTTGACGTCAATTGATATGTAAGATTACACAAAAATCACTAGGAAGCTGACACTACTACAGGCAAAACTGAATTGAACTTGAGTGTTCGCATAACTACATCACTATGACTGATCGATTTACCGTCCAATCCAAACTCCTCTCGGTTCGCGTTGTGGGCCGCCTATATAGCGTTTGAAGCCCTCTCAAGAATTTGCTACTACGAATATCCTCAAATTTATCAAAAATAGCGCATTCACAAGTAACGTATGCCCACAGACAATCTGCAATGTGTTGAATATTTTTTTTATAATAAACTGGATATTTATAATATAATATAAAAACTTGATAGGTATAAACTGTATAAAAATCTAAAATACCGGGTGTCCTACCGAAAACTGTCAATGGCCTATATCTTGAAAACGGTAATCGATAAAAAAAAGCAAAACCCGTTTGGAGGACTGGAAAGGAGAACCAAAACAAGGTAGGTACTTTTTAGCTCTCCCCGCCCCTCCGGCGGTAGCCACCCTAACCTCAAAATCTTGAATGGCACTATAGGTCATGTGAGACCTTATTTGAAAGGTTTTTTTAATTCTCTGAACGAATCTGCAAAAAAAAAATATCCAGATACAAATTCGAATTGTCAGAAAATGGACCATGCATCAAGTTAACAACTTAATTTGCCCTCTTGAAGAGGTGAACACTGTCAGGGTATAACCCCTTTTGTTAATGAATTAACAAGAGGCCCATAATATGCTCGGTTTGCTCAGCGAATAATTATTAGGGGTGGGTTGATAGTTTAATAAGTATAGAATGGCAAGGGCGCCAATGAATTAAAAAGTAAAATAAATTAAATTACCTAGCTCCTATGACTCAGATTTTTACATAAAATATGGAAGGGTGAAAATTCAGAAACACACCTAAAAAAAATAATCTGCAGACGGTAATTGATAACTCTGAAAAGGAAATAAATAAGGCACATAACTCAACCAAATCCTGACATAGGTAAACCAATAAAACAATTAAGTCTCAAATTAAATAAGCGTGGTTTACAGTGAGGTCAAAATCAAGTGTTGGATAATTTCAATATATAAAATCAATCGCTGGTAAATTCGATAAATCAAAAATCAGAAATAATTATCCAAAGTTCACTCCGGTGCACAGTGTGACATTTTTGGGATCTAGCTGGAAAAAAATATTTTAGCGGCTTTTTTAATGAAATATAAGTTTTTTTTGTCCATAGATAGGAGATTTTGATAAAACAAGATTGAGCATGCACCAAAATAATTTTGCCCCCCCTTCCTATTTAAGATTTTCTAGTGGGTAGCTTTAGGGACTGGGGGGTTGAAAGGTAGAAGTGAATTTTGCATAAAAACTCATTCCGCTTCAAATTATAGTTGACGTGTTTCAGGGAAACTTAACACTTTCAAATACATCGCCTGCAAAATTTAACCAAATGGACACTAAATATTGTGCATATTCTTACCGCTTTGTCCGAGAGATAAGGTAGGGCACATTTTTAAATAATAATGTTAAATTTGAAAATAAACATATGTTTTTAATTAGTCAATGGACATTACCTGAATTAATTTTAATATAAATATAGGTCTGTGATAAAGTTGGCAAATCGAATTAATTCCACCTAATATGCCAACACCGGCGTATCCAGCCCATGCGTCTGGGGGGGGGGGTAATCAGTTCAAGCCAGCTCGCCGCAGGCGCCGCCGGAGACGAAAACTTTTTACCGGGTGCCACGCCCAAAAACGTTTATTTTGAACCTTCAAAACAATTTTTCTGCACTACCAACAAATAACGAAACCGAACTCTGGGATTCCCCAAAAACTTTCAAATTGTAGCAGATTCTATAGGTAGAACCAGTGCAAAAAATGTATCTTTATCTCTTTCTTATGCAAACTAGTAGAAAAAGACGCGAATACACTCAGTGCGCACTATCCCTTTCAATAGAATTCGTTATAAATGGCATGCAGGCAGTGCGGACACTGTGTGCAAACTAGAAAAAAAGTCTGTAGAGAAACAATAATGGGATCCAGCGTCAGCCTTTAGATCGCAGTCATGTCGCAGCAGTACTTGGGCAACTTGGCAGTCTGGCAGAAGTCTGACTGTTCTAAAATAGTTTTTTCTTCATACTTACTATGGGCCGGTTTCTCAATAGCGAGTCACCTCCGGGTTGGTTTTAACTCCAGGAGCCCAATTCTTGAAAAATATTGCATCCGAAATTTTATATGATTTCGAACGCTTCCCATTTAATTTACATTGCTGTCAGTCAAATTCGTATCAAATTTCGAATGCGATATTTTTCAAGACTTGGGCTACAAGTTAAACGTGTCCAGTTGCAGTTGCAATGTTTACCCTGCAGTTATGCTTAACCCGGAGGTGACTTGCTATTGAGAAACCGGCCCTATAGCATGAGCAAAATTAAAATCGAAAAGGTGTTAAACTATAATTAACGGCCGCAGGCCGTGATTTTCAAACATATCCCTGAATAGGAAGAGTGTATAACATATAAAAATATAAAAAATAGATTTATTTGTAAGGTTTAGGGTATATGTTTTTCGCCATCGCAACGATCTTGGGGGGGGGGTAATTACCCCCATTACCCCCCCCTTGTATACGCCGGTGTATGCCAAAATTTCACACTGTGCGGTGTCAAGAAAGTGAACAGGAAATTTTAAATATCCAAAGGCAATGTCGGTAAAAATTCAATCAATCAGGGTACCTAATTGATTGTAAACTAGATTTTATAAAAAAGGGAATACTTGAAGGTCACAAATAAAACTCTATACAAGCCTCCATCCCAACAAAAAGGCAGAGCACGGCAGCCATCCATTCTCGACCATTTGACGAGGAAAGCTGCAAGTGGAAGTTTTTTTTTTTTTTTTTTTTTTTTTTTTTTTTTTTTTTTTTTTTTTTTTCTACGGATATGCGCACTCGCAAGGAAATGTCCTATCACGCTCGAGAAGCGGCAAGTGCGCGGAAATGTCGGTGTATGTTGGTCTTGAAACGGTTCAGGTTGTAACCTGCAGGGAAAACCGTCGCAGGGAGTTTATTCCACAGCGATGCTGTTCTCCAGAGATATGAATTCTGATATAATGAGGTTCTTGGTGCCTCTAGTTTGACAGTAAATTCATGGTTATCGTCTGTTTGACGGGTTCGCCTGGTAGGCGCTACTCTTGGTGGAATCATACGTGCCAACTCTTCAGAGCATTTTCCGTGATAGTACCTGTAGAAGAGAGATAAATCGCCCACAGATCTGCGATGTTCGAGACCATCCAAGTTACGAGTAAGTGCGGGGTCATTGATCAGCTTGATAGCTCGTTTTTGCACGGTGTTCAAAAGCATTAAGGTATGTTTGGGTGCTGCACTCCATATATGTGAGCAGTACTCCATAGTTGGTCGAATCTGGGCTTTGTAGAGTGTCAGCAATTGGCTTGGTGTGTACAGATGTCTTGTACGAAATAGCACCCCCAGCTTTTGGGACGCCCTTTTAGCAATATCTGCCACGTGACTGTGCCAAGACATGTTGGTCTCTGCAGTAACCCCCAAGATGTTCAACTGACTCTGTAATGTGACAGCACTTCCAGATAGCATGATGTTTGGCTCACCGGTGCTGGTCTTTTTTGAAAACAGAGCTGCTTGGGTTTTCTGCGCGTTGAACTGTACAAGGTTTTTGTTACCCCAGTCCTCTATTATCTCCAGGTCGTTATTTATCTGCGATATTTGAGTTAGTCTAAGATGATGGAATTCACGTGCGGAAAGACCTGTGGGTGGTATGAGTGAGGAGCCTACATTGCCATCGTCTGCAAAGCAATAAAGTGGATTTACTGTTTTATCTATGAGGTCATTTATGTAAATCAGAAAAAGAGTTGGCGAAAGGATTGCTCCCTGTGGCACACCAGCATTTATTTGGTAAGAGTTGGAGTTCTGGCCATCCAGTGCAACATAAATGGATCTGTCCTTTAGGTAACTTTCAAACCAAGTGCAAAGTTTCGGCGATAATCCCATTGCTTTGAGCTTGTTGAGCAGATTTTCATGCCAAACTTTGTCGAATGCTTTAGATATATCTAAGGCAATTGTTCTTGTTTCACCCCGCAACTCAATCGCTTTCTGCCATATGTGAGTGACGTATGTAAGTAAATCGCCAGTTGACCTATATTTTCAAAATCCGTATTGCTTATCGTTGATAATTTTGTACTTTTCCAAGTACTTGGTTAGGTGATTGTTCACAACTCTTTCCATTACTTTTGATATCACCGGAAGTAGAGCAATTGGTCTATAGTTTAACGGATCTGTCTTTTTTCCTTTCTTTGGAATG